CACACACACACACACACACACACACACACACACACACACACTGAACATGAACATGGAGAAATAAATAGGGGTGATTCAATCAAACTCAACAAGGGAGCAGACCTGCTAAAACACATCATTTGTATTTTTCCCACATTTTTCAGTGAAATATMTTTTTCGTGTCAAATTATTTGCTTAAGAGGTGTACATCATTAACTGTTCTTTAAAGAATATAATTAATGATGTCTTTATTGGCTAAGTAAAAGCTAAAATCTAACATCATTTAAACAATATAAGACGAGAAAGGAAGCAGGTGATTTGGTGATAATGTGCAGCTTAAACAGTTGTATTTATAGTTAATTATAGCACAATACAACAATACTAAAGGAAATAATAAATGTATTTAAACATGAAGCTGTAGGCAATATAATCACCTGAATTAATTACATGTAATTTATCTAACGTAGCTGCAGAGCAATGATCAAAACTTGTGGCTTTGAAAAAATAAACAAAGGAACATATAAAACTTTTAAATGTCATCTCAAATATGTTAAATATGTCAAAAAGGTCAAACATTCCCTCCCAGTGTTCATTTAAAGACATTACAGCTCCTTTCCCTCCACAGCATCTGAAACGTGTTCTTCTCTTCCTCTGTCCTCAGCATCATTCTGCTCATCCTGTCATCATGTTACCTGGCCTTTCGGGTTTGCAGTCTGGAGCAGCAGCTTTCCTTCCTCAGTAACCCCAACCTGCCCCTGAGAGAGAGGTAACGCTGGCAGGGACACAGCTGTCTGACAAAGTTAGAGAAAAAAAAAGATGAAGCAATTATGGTGATTAGAAAGGTAGACTTTTACATTTTTTTACATTTTAAAACCTATTTGAATGCAGAAATTTGTGAAGATCTCAGCTGAAAAACAAACAAAAAAAAGTTAAATAAATACAAGTGTTGAAGACCTGTAGAGAGAAGAACCAAAATCAGTGGAAATATTGACATTGATGCCAGTGGCTCATTTGAGGTCAGCATGGCAGCTACACACTTTGTTTCCCTGACAGCATTCTTAAGAGGGACAGACACAAATGCAGACTAAAAAGTAAGCCTGAAACTAACGGTTTCTTTATTATAGTGCAGTCGATTTTTGCATATTTCATGAGAATCGTTCAAATCCTGATGCAAGCATGAAATGTGGTACATGTACCCTTCAAGGTCCACTCTTTTCAGAAATATTACTGACCACACACAACCCAAGATGGCTGTCATGCCTTACCATTCACTGCTTAAAATAAATTTTTAATTATAACCTGGTGAACACTTTTAAGAAAAAACTGTTTCTTGATAACCAGATTGTCATGGTCTAAAATTGGAATTTTAGGATGGTAACCTAAACAAAATAACTTAACGGCCTCCAATAATTTCAGTTGTTCCTGTCTAAGCAACCACTGAACATATATAAATGATTTCTTGATTGCCTGTGTATGTGTAATTTTCTCTTGATTTCTTACAAATGTAATGAAGTGATGTCAGCACACAAGCAGGGCACACTGGTGACACCGCTGGTGTGCAGCTCAGCATGGGATTCAGCTACACTAATACTGTAGTATTAGACTTGTGTTGTAGTGTAATTTAATTTAGTGTCCCAAATGCTTTCTCTTACAGTTAGCTAGTGGACAGTAGTTGGTAGTTAGTAGATAGACACACCTGAATGGACAGGGTGTGCCAGTGTGGGAGCTAGGTGTAGATCACCCGAACCTAGTTGTATCTCATACAGGAATGTGTATGTATTTTTGTCGGCCATCTTGAAAAATGGACACCATATCGATTTTTTTGTTTTTGTTTTTGCGTGGCCAGCGGTATGTTGAAAAAATTTGAAACAGTATAATGTGTAACCATATAATTTGTTGCTCTAGAATGATTTGATGTTCTTGTTTTGTTAAGTGAGGATTATTGTTGTTTGAATTTATACTTGAGGAAAAAAGGGGCAGATATAAGATTTTGTTCTTCTCTCTGCTTCCCTTCATTTTGTTGTGTTTGTATTTTTTACTTTTATTGTGTATAAAATTTAGTTTTTTTAATGAAATGAATAAAAATTTATGAAATGAAATGAAAAATGAAATGAAATGTGCTTTTAAAATGAGCTTGTACCAAATTTCCTGCTTTCGTCACCATTTGCACCGATATGAAAATTTCAGCCGATATCGATATCCAATATAATTATTGCTGTTATGGCCATTAACCAATATTTACTGATATTACACAAACACACAAATTATATTATACATATACGCACAAACACACTTAGGACTTTTTTTGATACCGTAAATAAAGAACCAGACCTCTGACATAGCTCCCTACTTCAGTTATTCCTGGCTGTGCAGCATCAATATCACTATCATGATCAAACAGATGCAGCTCAACCAACCATCTCCCAAAATAGAAACACAAAGCCAAAAAGTGGGAAATCAATTTTGGATGTTAATATCGGCCAAGTTTTACACATCGGACTGATACCGATATTCTAAAAAATGACCAATATCAGCCGATACCGATATTAACACTGATATATCGTGCATCCCTAGCTGTTTCATTTATCTGCTTCATTATTAGGGCTTGCCATTTCAAATATTTCAAATAAATAGGAGAGCAGAGGAATGCATTGCGAAACATTCATTTGAATACAGCACCTTTTATTAGCCACCTCAAAAAAGTTAATCTAAACTTTATATATTTTTATAGTCACGCATTAATATGGCCCAAACRGCAACATGCACCCCCTACAAACATTATATCAATATGACTGGCTCGGTGGTGGGAGGTGTGCTATTAATTTTAGCGGTGTTTCGAGTTGCAATGGCAAAGTAAATCACAAAAAACTACAGTCAGAAAACATACAAATATTTGCAATGTCGGGTGTTTTTAGGGTATGTGCCCAGACCTGGTCCATCATCATGGCATGTAACACTACAGGGGAATACACTCTGTATCTGCATTTAGACGCTTTAAAAAAGAACCCACTGGTGAAAACCACGACTCATTATGATATGATGAAAGATGGTATGATATGATGAAAGATGGCTCAACAATAACGTCATGTCATGTGACGGCTCTACGCTTCTATAGATGATTGTACCGTGAAGCTGCTCTGATCTGTAGAGCTCTGAAGTGGGCTGGGTTCATTGTTCAGGAGGAAATATGTCAATTTATTTGCAAATTGTGACCACATTGCATAACGTACCACTACCTAATAGAATATTCCCAATCAGGTTGCATGTTCTTAAGTATAATTTGCATGCTTGTTTATTCTCTTTTAGGATGTGGGACATGAAAGCAGGCAAAAATTGTGAACAGAAAAGTAAAAGGGTGCTTCCATCTTTGTGGTTGAACAATCAGTCTGCTCCATCCTGCAGGTAACCACGGCTCTCCGGTGAACCCATCAGACCGGCTGTGGTCGTCTCTCTCCTCGTGCTCGGAGTTGATGGTGGACCCCTCCTGTGCAGACCCGGGACCAGCCTATGGAGCCACGTCACAAAATAAAGGGAGCGACATCATCACGCCACCAAAAATCCCTACAAACTGTTCCACGCAGGAATGTAATCAGCGATCACTTCCAGACTATGCAAACAGGTCGAAGGTTTCAGTCTGAGACTAAAGTAGGTTTTATTTTAGACGAGGGTGGGCTGCAGTCTGTCTCAGACACTCTTCAATGTAGAAAGCAATCTTAAAAAGAGCTGCTGTTCGTGGCTCTGATGAGGATCAGGTGGACGTCGGCTGGTGGCTGAGGACGGAGAGATGAAAGAGATTTAAGATACTTGACGAAAGAATGATTGTAAAGAATTTACAGGGATGTTGTGGAGGTTTTAGGACATTTATGACATGTTTTGACTGAGTAAATTGTTTTATTTTCACTAGAGAGGACCTAACTATCACTATGCAAAATAGAAATAAAAAGAAACGTAATAGTTTCAAACATAGCAAATATTTTGCTTTAATAATGGTACTCTGTTATCATTTTAAAGGTATTTATAGAAGAAGGTCAGGTGAGTAAAACTCACTGGATGACCTGAAAGGCAGAATCAACACTTCCTGATGGTGTTACAGTAGTTTGATGGGGAAAAAAAGAAATGTTTTTATGTTTTATTGCATCAATAATTTTTAGTCTTGACATTTCAAATGAAGATTTAAGTACTGAAGACTTAAAATAACGTGTTAAGGCTCAGAATGTCCGTGTTTTATCACTGTCTGAAGATGTTTTATGGAGTTTGCAGATGAGGATGATGAGTCTTCCTGGAATTAGATTAAATCAAAATGGCAACAAAGTTCAGTAAATACTTTGTAGCTTTTTGTTTTCGTTTTGGAGCTTGACCCCGTTTCATCCCGCAGCAGAGGCACTAAATAAGAGTTGTGAAAAGATTTTTTGCTTCTAACAGCACAGCAAATCACTAGCATTCACAGTGAGATGATTAAACAGCAGAGCGATGTTKGACGAAGCACTCGCTGCTCCATAAATCACTCAGAGAGAGTTGGCTGAGTAACAGTGATGTTTTTTTCCCCTCAACTTACTCACTTCAAAGTTTAATAACTTGTCAGGGCTTTAAGAAGCTGTCATTTTCTGAAATTGTAAYGCAGAAGTACAATGTTGGCTTTTATTGTGTGTCCAAAAGTCTTTCCTGTTTCCTGTAGAATCCTTAAACTTTGTTTTACTTTGTTTTAAACAGATGATTTTCAGCAATGTGTAACATTTAACAGACAAATCTTGTGTAAACCCTACAGTTAAACCATGTTTCATTTAAAACACAAATCACGACAGTAGCCTCAAAGAAACAGAAATAAAAGCCTTCACATGAAAGTTTATCAGCTTTTTATGTCTGAAAACTCCAGTCTGAACATGACTTACATTTCTTCAACTACAGAAATGGCATTTCCTGCAAAACTACAGCGTGAATGTTGAATCATTTTGCTGAAAGCTGCTGAAGAGACTGAAAGCTTGCAAAAAGTAAAATAATAATAATAATAATAATAATAATAAATTCTAATATTTAATAAGTTTGGAAAATCTAGTCGAAAATGAAAACCTGCTCACTAAAATACAAAAGTATCAAAATGCTAGTTTTGTGCCAGATGTACCAAAATGTTAGCAGAAATCAGAATAATGTTACAAGCTAAAAGGAGAAAAAGGCTGTCAAAATCCAGAAAACACTAATTAATCATCAGAAGTAGTGAAACATGAGTAGAAAAACAGGAAAAGACAGATGTAAACTTGGTTAGAGCTGAACAAATGCTAAAATAAAAAAGCTCAAACAAAGCTAAAAATATCAGAAYTATAGCTGAAAATGTCCAAATACATTAGAAAGGCTGAAAACAGTAAAACATACATGATGAAAACTTCATTCTGACCATTAATTCCAGTTTTTAAGCCTTTTTTAAGCAAATAAACTTCCTTCCATGATATTTAACTCTAAGTTATATTAATGCTACATGTAGCTCTCAACTGTCTCCTGCATGGTAAACGTGACAAAGTTTTTAAAAACTTCTGAGTTTTGTGTTTGTTTCATCAAAGTCTGAGTGCAAAACATGGTTTTGTGTGAACTTATGGCCTTAAAGAGCTTATGCAGTAGTAAAAAAAAAGATGTTTAATAAAACTAAAAATTATGGTTAAAATTAGAAAAATTAAGTTTCGCATGGTAAAAAGAAATAAAAAATGTAAAAATAGAGATTGTGCTTTATCAAATCCTGTTTTTTTTGTGAAGCACCTTAAACAGTACAGCAGGAGATGTACACAGCAGACAAGTTAAGAAACAAAAGTAAAAAAATAAATAAAACCTGGCAAAAGACAGTGAAACAGAAGAAATCGCAGCATAAATCAACTCTTACAGAGTGTAAAAGTTTGTGCTTGATTTGGGGACTTTCAGAGATTAGCTGRTCTGAAACAGTGAGGGGGTGGGAGTGTGGAGCAGGACCGTTTAAGTATTTAAAAACAAAATAATTTAAAAGGTGTGGCAGCAGCTTTTTGTCCCCCTGCAGTCAGTCAGTGGAGGACCCTGTAACCAGCCTGGTGTAGATCACTGCCTAAGAACGGCTTTACTTTGGCCGGCTGCTTCCAGTGATTAAAAAAAAAAAACTAATTTTCCAACCAAACTGAATGTTTCAGATTGTTTTTCTGTGTGTGGTTTTAGAAAAAAAAAATTTTCTTGTAAACTAAAAGGCCTGGCAGTCTGAGCCTTTAAACTACAAACTACACTGACATCTAGTGAGTGTGTTGTGCTGCATCACTGCTGCCATGKGCTTGTAGAAATACTTTTTCAATTTAAAGTTTTGATCACTTTAAAATTTGTTTTCATATATGTAATATGAAAATATACATTTATTATTATTATTTAGTTATATCTTTATTTTGTTGTTATAAACCTTTAAGGCAGGGGTTCTCAAACCTAATCCTCATGCTGAATAAAAATCCCTAAATGTCATGGGAAAAATCCTTTTTTTGTTTAGTATGCTTGTTTCATGGTGCAAATATTTATGGATTTTTTTTAATTACTTGACAAAATTAACAGTTCATTATAATTTCTTCGAGGACCTCCCTGAAGCTGTGCCTTTGCTTTAAGCACTTTAACGTAAAGTCGTAGGG